TCGTGTAATTGCCCCCCACATCCTTTCTCATAAAAACCCCTTCCTTTCACCTTGCATGTGAGATACTTTTCTGGATACTGCCAGAATCTGTGCTCCATAAACTGATTCTTCAATTCCAAATAACCAGCAGGGCTTTTAAAGGTCATTGTGCTTGGCTCTGGGAGAGCTTGGAGGACACTGGATCTGAAGGGCACCTGGGGCACATAGGGGGAAGGTTGATTACTCATCTCGAAGTATGTCACAGAGAGGTAGCCTTTGCATTCACAGAGAGACCCCTCTGGGAACAAAGAAACTGGCAGAAGCCATTTCCCTCCCTCACCCTCAGCATAAGCAGAGGGTCACCTGTGGGAACTAGTGTGGCACCCACATTTCTTACCTAAATTGCTCACACCAAAACCCTCCACCCAGCCCCAGAACTCCAGAAGACTGGTCCTTCCCATTCAGCTTGCCTCTGCTCCAGCACAGCAAGCCCCCTCCTCGAGAAGAGGAGCTCTAGTCCCTGCCAACACCACGTCTCCTGACCTGGGACTTTTGTGAGGCCTCGGTTCCAGTGGCAGCAGTGACAGGTCTGATTTCACAAGCAGACCAGAGCATACCTAGTAAAAACGCACCACATTCAGGCCAGGAACGAAACATTGCCCATAACAGGCAAAGAGAGAGTCTCTGCAGACAACTGGCCTGAAGGATATAGCAGCCAGCACACAAGAGCAGAGCATATGCAGCACACACTGGAGACACTCCCAGAAGCAACAGGCCCTGGGGAACATGGGACACTATACTGCAGAGCACTACAGGACCTCTTCTTCATAAAGCCATTGCAGCCAAGAACAGAAGACATAGCTGACCTTCTTAACACATAGAAACAGGTACAGAGACAGACAAAATGAGAAGACAGAGGAATTTGTCCCAAATGAAAGAACAGGACAAGGTCACAGAACAGGACAAGGCCACAGCTGGAGATCTAAGCAAAACAGAAGTAACATGCCTGATAGAGAATTTTTTTTTTTTAAGATTTTATTTATTTATTTATTTGTCAGAGAGAGAGAGAGCACACAAGCAGAAGGAGCAGCAGGTAGAGGGAGAAGCAGGCTCCCCGCTGAGCAAGCAAGTCCCCCAATGCGGGACTCGATTCCAGGACCCTGGGATCTGAGCCACCCAGGCCTCCCCCTGATAGAGAATTTAAAGCAATAATTATGAGGATACTCACTGGTGTTGACTAAAGACTGGAAGACATCAGTGAAACAATTAACCCAGGGATAAGAAACAACCTAGTAGAGATAAAGGGCTCCATAAACAAAATGAGACACACATTTGATGGAATGAACAACAGATTATAAGAAGGAGAGGAACAAATGAATGACTTAGAGGACAGTAATGAAAAGTAATCAAGGGGCGCCTGGGTGGCTCAGTCGTTAAGCGTCTGCCTTCGGCTCAGGACATGATCCCAGGGTCCTGGGATCGAGCCCCGCATCAGGCTCCCTGCTCAGCGGGAAGCCTGCTTCTCCCTCCTCCACTCCCCCTGCTTGTGTTCCCTCTCTCACTGTGTCTCTCTCTGTCAAATAAATAAATAAAATCTTAAAAAAAAAAAGAAAAGAAATAAAAGGCATCCAAATCAGTAAGGAAGAAGTACAACTTTCAGTATTTGCAGATGACAGGATACGATACGTAGAAAACCCAACACACACCATCAAAAAACTGCTAGAACTGATAAATGAATTCAGTAAAGTGTCAGGATACAAAATATACCTACAAAAATATGTTGCATTTCTACCCACCAATAATAAAGCAGCAAAAAGAGAAAATAAGAAAACAATCTCGTTTACAATTGCACCAAAATTAATAAGATTCCTAGGAATAAACCTAACCAAAGAGGTGAAAGACCTAAACTCTGAAAACTACAAAACACTGGGGAAAGAAATTGAAAACAAGAAAAGAAATGGAAAGAAATTCCATGCTCATGGATTGGAAGAACAAATATTGTTAAAATGTCTATACTACCCAAAGTATGCAATCCCTATCAAAATACCAACAGCATTTTTCACAGAAGTAGAACAAACAATCCTAAAATTTGTAGGGAACCACAAAGAACCCTGAATAGCCAAAGCAATCTTTATAAAGAAAAGCAAAGCTGGAGGCATTACAATTCCTGACTTCACATTACAAAGCTGTAGTAATCAAAATAGTATGGTACTGGCACAAAAATAGACCTATAGATCAATGGAATAGAACAGAAAACCCAGAAATGAACCCACAACTAAATGGTAAATTAATCTTTGACAAAGCAGGAAAGAATATCCAATGGGAAAAAGAGTCTCTTCAACAAACAGTATTGGGAAAACTGGACAGCAACATGAAATTGGACCACTTTCTTGCATCATACACAAAAATATAAATTCAAAATGGATTAAAGACTTAAATGTGAGACCCGAAACCATAAAAATCATAGAAAAGAACACCGGCCGTAATTTCTCAAACATTGGCCAAAGCAACTTTTTTCTAGATAGGTATCCTGAGGCAAGGGAAACAAAAGCAAAAATAAACTATTGGGATTACATCAAAATAAAAAGCTTCTACACAGTGAAGGAGACAATTAACAAAACCAAAAGGCAGCCTATGGAATGGGAGAAAATAACTACAAATGACATATCCAATAAAGGGTTAATGTCCAAAACATATAAAGAACTTATAAAACTCAACATGTAAAAAACAAATAATCTAATTAAAAAGTGGGCAGAAGACATGAACAGACATTTCTCCAAAGACATACAGATGGCCAACAGACACATGAAAGGATGTTCAATGCCACATCATCAGGGAAATACAAATCAAAACTACAATGAGATCTCACCTCACACCTGACAGAATGGCTAAAATCAACAACATAAAAAACAACAGGTGTTGGTGAGGATGTGGAGAAAAAGGAACCCTGTGCACTGTCGGTGGGAATGCAAACTGGTGCAGCCACTGTGGTAAACAGTATGGAGGTTCCTCAAAAAATTAAAAATAGAACCATCCTACTATCTGATCTCACAATCACACTACTGGGTATTTACCCAAAGAATACAAAAACACTAATTCAAAGGGATACATGCACCTCTATGATACGATACGTAGAAATGTATCATATCTTGGCTACGTATCTAGCCAAGATATGAGAGCAGCCCAAGTGTCCATTAATTGTGAATGGATAAAGAAGTGTGGTGTGTATATATATGTATACAATGAAATATTATTCAGCCACAAAAAAGAATGAAATCTTGCCATTTGCAAGGACATGGATAGAGCTAGAGAGTATACTGCTAAGTGAAATAAGTCATAGACAAATACCATATGATTTCACTCATATGTGGAGTTTAAGAAACAAAATAAGTGAGCAAAGGGGAAAAACAAAGACAAACCAAGAAACAGACTATTAAGTATAGAGAACAAACTGATGGTTACCAGAGAATAGGTGGATTGAGGGGGGAGGGGGGAGAATGGGTGAAACAGGTGATGGGAATTAAGGAGTGCACTTGTGATAAGCACCCTCAGGTGATTAAAATAAAAACTTAAATATATTATCTAAGAATTTAATCATGTGATAAGTTACGGTATCACTTAAATGAAAATATGTATATATGTGTGTATATAAATCTACATGTTTATATATGTATATAAGTAAAACTAACATACCCAGCACTCAATATAAAATGTACTATTTGTGGGGGCCTGGGTGGCTCAGTCTGCTAAGCGACCAACTCTTGGTTTCCCTCAGGTCTTGATCTCACGGTCGTTGATCCAACCCCGCCTCCTGCTCCAAGCAAAGTGGAGAGTGGGCTTGAGATTCTCTTCCTCTCCTTCTGCCCACCCCCCCGCCCCCGTTTAGGCTTTGCATGCGCTCTCTCTCAAATACATAAATCTTTTAAAATAAACAATAAATAAAATGTACTATTTTCTATATTAATAAAAAAAAATTGGGAGTGCAAGGAAGATATTTTCTAAGAGAAACAGTAGGTTCCAGGTTACTTGATGGGTCTTTGTTAGGTGTTCGCCAAGAAAGAAAAAAGATCAAGTCTGAAAAAATAAAGCATTTCGGAGACAAAGAGTAAATACTATCACCTTAAACATTACTCTTTTTTTTTTTTAAGATTTTTTTTTTATTTATTTATCTGAGAGAGAGAATGGGAGACAGAGAGCATGAGAGGGGGAGGATCAGAGAGAGAAGCAGACTCCCCGCCGAGCAGGGAGCCCGATGCGGGACTCGATCCCGGGACTCCAGGATCATGACCTGAGCCGAAGGCAGTTGCTTAACCAACTGAGCCACCCAGGCGCCCCTTAAACATTACTCTTAATTGTCACAATTATTTCCTCCTCCAACGGAGACCTTTCTTGGAGAAGTATAGAGACGGGCAAGGAGACAACAGGCCATTCTTTGGGCCCCGATGAGAAAGTCAACTGGCTCCACCTGCCACACACGACCCTCGCCATCAGAGACCAGAGCTTCCAAAGCAGTCTCAGGGTCAGAGAGAAAAGTCAAGGCTTTTACCGTCAAGGGGCAGAGCCGTCTTGTCTTGTGCTCCCATATATGATTGTGTGTGACACAGCCAACAACACAATCTCCCCAAATCCACACAGTGCTGCACAGTCTCACACCCACTACTAGACACAAAGTCACACCCTCCCTACCCTTCCCACACAGGGCTCCACAGTCACAATACCCACGGCGGCTCAGTCACAAAGCACACAAAGTGGAATACCAGGTCACACAACCACAACCGCATACCCACTACAGGGACACAGTCACAGGTACCGCCCCCCCCCCCCCCAGTGTTACACACGGTCACACATGAACAATCATACCACGGGTACTCACAGTGTTATAAGCTAATCCACACCCGCACACACGGTATCACACACGTTCACAATCACACATACACACGTCACTTGACAGTCACAAAATTTCACCACCGCCCTTCCTCAGCCCCTTCTACCCGAACAGACTTAATATTCAGTTTCCGTACCGGCGCCGGGCTCTGGGCTTTTTTCAACCTCGGTCTCCTCTGAAACGTGTCAGTGGCCGGAGCGCGCTCAGCTCCAAGCAGCCCGCCTCGCTGTGGGGAGGAGCGGCGGACGCGATGCCTCCTGGGAAATGTAGTTAAGCTCCGCGCTAGCGATGGAGAAGATGGCGTCCGGCTTGAGACCTGCCAGAGATCCCCCCTCGGCCCCTCTCCCCGGCCCACCCTGAGGCACGAACTGTGCCCCGAAATGTTTCGGCGCTCCAGGGGTAGGTAGCCTTACACCTTGGCCCCTACTTGGAGTAAGCCCGGCATGCTTGAACTGAGTTTATCATAACCCAAGGTACACCACTGCCCTCTCTCAAAGGCAGAGTTAACACAGGAAAGATTATTAAACTAAGTCCTGAGACTCGGACTACTTACACTCCTCCCCCAACCAGGGAGACAGTCCCGCAAACTCTGGCGCAGGAAAGAAAGCGCGAAAAGCGAACTTGAACCCCCTGAAACTTATGGGAAATGTAGTCCGCAGTCAGAAAAGTGGAGGACCGGCCAATACCGACAGATTCCGTACGGCACTGAGCCCGGCTTGGCGGAGCCCAGGAGACCTCTGGGAGTGCTAGCCAGCCCAAGGAGTGCGCAGGCGCAGACTTTCTGGCTCGCCATAGTCGTCTTTGTCTGCGGGTGAGTGTGGTTTCGGCCTCGCAAGGCGCAGGTCTGGGCGTGGGACCTGGGGTTCTGGGCTCAGAATCCGGTCAGGGAAGCTGTAGGGGAGGATTCTTAGAGCCTGCGACAGGGCTGGGGAGGCTGACGGGGAGGAATCGCTTTCTGTGACGTGCAGTGTTCAAAGCCTGTGCGGATGGGGGCAGGGGTACAGGAGGAAACGGGCGAGTTCGCGGGTGGGTGACGGAGGGTGTGAAAGGGTTGTAGAGGTACAACTTGCGTGAGAATTGCGTGGTTCCAGGTTTGTGAGGATGGATGGCATGGTGAGCTTTATGGGGCAGTAACCTCAACCTCACTATTCTCGTTTCTAAAATAATGATAATGAAGATGCATCTTTCTGGAGTATCCGTTTTTCTGAAAGAAAGGAAAATGGCTAAGACGAGAGATAAGTAATTTTTAAAGCGATTTTTATATAAAGGCAGACTGATTGTGGAGTTTATTTCCGAAAAACTTGTTATTGGGTTACTAGACTCCCCTTGTGTATTGACTTTTCGTAATTCTTTGGAGGAACTTTGGTGAGCAGCTTTGAGAAGCCCTTGACTAAGGAGGAGTTTAAGAGCTAGTTTCCACTAGTGTAGACAGCACAGAATTGTGAAGGATATTGTCCTGTCTTTGGTGCAGAGATATCAAGTAACTGATTTAAGACTCCCTTGTTTCTAAACGACGTGGCAGTGACTCGTAATTTGACCAGGTTTTCCCCAGACCAAATGGCGTTTGTAAATGTAGTGAAACAAATTGTCTTCTATCTAAAACACTTTCTTACAGTATTCTATGACACTTAACATAATTTTCAATAAAATGAAAAAGTACCACGGTACAAAAATTCATATACACAAATAATAGCTTTGGTATATACAAAAAGTAATCAGTAATAGTTATGAAGGCAGTACTTTATTTACAACAGCGACAAATCAGACAAAACACCTTGGGGTAAACAAGAAATGTATAAAATCTATATAACACTAAATTCTTTAGTTAACAAGACGCAAAAGAAGACTTGAACAAATGGAAATACATATCATATCTTAGATTTTAAAAGTCTACAAGTTATCTTGTTTTGTGAAGAAAGCTAAGTGCCTGTTTGGTAATACGTAATATACCACTTTTTTAGTAAGTGTGAATAAGAATGTATATTTGTAGGTGCATAAAGAAACTTTTGAAGTTTACACAGAAAATAAAAAAGGTTGATGAGGAGGGAGATGTAACAGCTAGGGCAGGGGTAAGAATCACATTTTTGCTTGCCTGTTTGTAGATTTCCATTTTTAACTGGGATGGAGAAATTAATTTCTATGTTCACTCCATTACTTTTTAGATGTTTAGCACTGCCTCATTCTTGAATGTTTCCTTGACTTCCATTATACTACTTTCATTTGTATATTCTAGTCAAAACCAAGAAATAATCTTCCCCCACCAAAAAGCTCCATTAGTGACTTATGTTTCTGTTTACCCCTTAACTATTAGTGTTCCTAAGTTTCTCACTTTGATTATATATATGTAAAATATGTATTTATATATATATAAATAAATATATTATCTCTAAGAACAAAATTCCATTGCTGTGGCTTCACCTGACAGGTGACTAACAAATGTCCATTCCTATTTGAGCCACATCCTGAGGTACTGATTCACATATCCAAATGCATAATGGACAGCTCCACCTTGAGGTTGCACAGGAACTTCAAACTCTAAATTTATGCCCACAATGTTAGTACTGTTATCTCCTGTTTCCTGTGGTTTGCCTCCATCCATTTCCTCTTTGTATTACCTGTTTTGTCAGTTCATAACACTGTCCAGCCAGATTCGAAGCCTCTTATATCTGAGTAAGGGAAGAACTTCTCAGTTGGACTCTTGTCTGTCACACCACATTACAAATTGGAGGCCCAGGGATTTCTTAATTACACATAATAAATGATAAATGTGTATGTTTGCTGAATCAATGAATGACCATATAATTATAGGGCACTTAAAATATTTCATTTCTCCTAGAGTAACATAACCTAGGTAAAATATTAGGCTGCTAAAAATTTTTAGGAACGCTGACCGTGACGAATACATGAATAACATCTTTTACATTTTATCCATATCATTTAAGGTTGGTGACTTCAGATTTATGAGAAAAGTGTTTTTATAGGGGAAAATGACATTCAGAACTGTGACTGTTCAATCAGGAGCAAGGCCACAAGTGACACCTGCTCTAATGTACCTGTTCAGGTTGTGATTCTGTAGAACTCTAACAACTCAGTCTTGTAATTTCTCTGTATCACCTAAATCCTGAAAATGACATAACCCATTTCTGAAATGTGTGGAGCCTTTTTTTTTTTTTTTAAGATTTTACTTATTTGAGAGAGAGAGTGTGCACACACAGCAGGGGGGAGGGGCAGAGGGAGAGGGAGAAGCAGGCTCCCCGAAGAGCAGGGAGCCCTATGTGGGACTCAGTCCCAGGACCGATCACGACCTGAGCTGAAGGCAGACGCTTAACCAACTGAGCTACCCAGGTGCCCCTGTATAGAGCCTTTAAATGGCATAATGGGTTTGGCTTGGGATGCAAAGTATAAATCCATGTGCTCACATGTATGCGTGTGCACCAACTTCTAAGCCAAAGGGTCATCATTACTTTGTTTTTTTCACAGGCCAGGTTCCTTGTGCATCCACGAGAACTGCACTTGCCTTGTCCTTCAAAACCTCCCAAGAGTCCTATGGCCTCAACCTGAATTATGGGATGCTGCTTTGACCCTCAACAGTAACGTCCAAGTCCTGTGTCACTGTTTAGAAGTTTAAGGCACCAGTTTAACAAGAAGATCAATGGATGACTGAGAGAGAAATGTAAAGGAGGTGCTATCTAGGTGAGTAAGAAAGAACCCAGCAGGTATCAATGGGATAAAGGCTCATTACAGTTACTCAACCTGCAACCTCTGAAAATTTTTTTGAGGCAGTTGTCTTATCAGCCCTTGTCTTTTGGAGTAACAGTTGCTGGAAATTCTTTAGATACCTAAATAACATTCCCAGATAATCTTGCTTGATCAGTGCTTTTTTTTCCTCAGATTCTGGGGGGCTGGCTGCCCCTCTAACCTCTCTCTGGATGCCACTCTCTTCATTTGTAGTCTCAATTTGATAAATTTTATGACCTACATGTTGTGTTCTCCCTTTCACTAACATTCTCCATTTTTTATTTCCCCCTAGATGTCTAGACTCCTTCCCTTAAGCATTCATTCATCTTGCCAAGGATTATAAGATCTCTAGTCTTTCAAATCTTAGCATATAGATTCTTTTCTTTAAAATTGAACTTTCTGGGGATGCCTGGGTGGCTCAGGCGATTAATCATCCGACTCTTGATTTCGGCTCAGGTCATGATCTCAGGGTCATGGGATAGGGCCAGCATCGGACTCCACGCTGGGCATGGAGCCTGCTTGGGAGCGATTATCTCTCTCCCTCCCCCTCTCCCATCCCCTGCTTGCACTCTCCCTCTCTCAAAAAAATTTTTTTTTAAATAAAATTTAACTTTCTATCATTTCTCCCCACTTCCATTGTTATATATCTCAGAGTTGAATTTTATTTACCCCCTTATCCTTACTTCTTATTCTCTTCCTACCTCCAACTATCATAGCACAACATTTCTCCCCCTCTTGCTTTTTAACAATATAGCATGCTTGGAGATTTGTCCTGACTTCCTATGACTTCACCTCTCTGTTACTTCTAAAAAGAAATAATACTATTCTCTTTAAAATCCAATACATAATACTTAATAGAAAAGTAAAATAATGGGTATGTCTTCTCAATCCTGGCCCTCACTTCTCCATTTCTGTTCCCCAGAAGCAGCCACTATTAACTGTGTATTCTTCTAAATATTTTTGTGAGTATACAAGGAGGCTTTCAAGTAGAACAATGATATGATTTAACTGTGACAAGAATAAACAGAGCTGTTGCTGTGTTGAGAGGAGTTATAAAGAGGCAAAGGTAGGAAGAAGAGTGAGGAGCCTATTAAATAATCCAGTCAAGACATGATGTGGCTTACACTTTGGTTGTCCTCGTGAGTGAGGATTATGAGAAATGGCCAGATGCTAACCATATTTTGAAGATAAAGCCAACAGGACATGGAGATCTAATAGGGTGTGATCTAGGAGACAGTTGTTCAAAGCTTGAGCAACTGGGAAAATGAGGTTGCTATTTAACAAGATGAGAAGAATTTGGGGGAGGTTCATTTGGGAGAACTAGAGTTTTGTCTGGGGCAGGGTAAATTATTAGACATCCAAGTGCAGATTTTGAGTAGCAAGTGGATATGTGAATCAGTTGGGGAAAGAGGTCCAGGCTAGTGAATAAATATTTTCAAAAATACTGTATCATAATGCACAAATGTCAAGCAAACTCTTAACTGTATTCTGTGGAAATGGTGACCTGGTAGAGTAGGGGTTGGCAAACTACAGCCTGTACGTGTTTTTGTGAAGTTTTACTGAAACATGGCCACCTACAGTGCATCTTGTCCATTCATTTTCTTATTATCTGTGGCTACTTTCATGCTACAAATGCCTGAGTTGAGCAGGCATCTGCAGATACATGATGTTATAAAGCATGAGACAGGACTAAAAAGTATATCAGTGATGGTAAAGCTAAGTGACCATAATAAACCCAAAATGTACTGCTTTAAGGAATATAAGAATTGATTTCCTGGTCATGTAACAGTTAACATGGTAAGTAGTGAAGAGTTGCATGGTTGCTTTGGTTTTTGTGGTCCTTTAAGGATCCAGATTTCTTCCAGGTTGTCTCTTTTATCATTCAGTTGTGGTTGAAACTGGATCAGCAGTGCATTCCTGGTTCCAGCCAGGTGGAGGAGGGAGAAATCACCACGGTAGGGCAAGAAGTCAATAAACTTTTTCTGTAAAGGTCCAGATAGTAAATACATAAGGCTTTGTAGACCATAGGATCTCTGCTACAACTACTCAAGTCAGACATTATAGCACAAAAGTAGTTTGTTTAGCATTAGACTATCCTGATTTCTATTTTGAAAATATTTTTTAAACAACAAGTTAAATGCTATTGAAAGAACCACTTTGCCTGATTTTCAGATGACATTGCCTAGTTCAGTTCAGAATTTTACAGTATGAGGGCCACCTGGGTGGCTCAGTCAGTTAAGTGTCCGACTCTTGACGTTGGCTCAGGTCTTGATCTCGTGGTGGTGAGTTTGAGCCCTACATCGGGCTCCACACTCAGTGAAGAGTCTGCTTGAGATTCTCTCTCTCCCTTTTCCCCCCCCAGCTCTCTCTCTGTCTTGTTCTCTAAAATAAATAAGTCTTTAAAAAAATTTACAGTATGAAAAATTCAATTCCGATAAATATGTATGAAGTATGTTGATGTCATCCCTATAAAAATACAAGGAGTTTTAATTACCAAGATGTCATTTCTGTGTTTTCTTTTCCTTTTTTTTTTTCTTTTTTAAGATTTTATTTATGTGAGAGAGAGAGCGCATGAGTGAGGTGAGGAAAAGAAGGGAAGGGAGAGGAACAAGCAGACTGCACTTGAGCACGGAGCCCCGTGCAGGGCTCAATCCCAGGACCCTGAGATCATGACCTGAGCTGAAACTAAGAGACGCTCAACTGACTAAGCCACCCAGGTGCCCCTGTGTTTTCTTTTACTAGGACTATAGTGGGTTGAGTCTTGATCTATTCTGCATCATTCTTTTGCAAATATAATGAATTGGAAATTTTAAAATAAATGCTATTACTGTAATTTGTAAAACTTTAGTAAAATCCACATGTTGAGCCATCTATGCCTTGGGCTTTGGGGTGATAAAATACTTTAACAATTGTCTCTTTTTTTTCTATGTTTACTTTTCTGTTTAGGATTTCTGTCTTTTCTGGTCTCAGTTTTCATAGGTTATATTTGGTTTTCAAATTTATTTGCATGGGATTGAGCAAATAATCTACAGTCCTTTTCTATGGTTATTTCCAAATAATTTTTAGTTTTGTAATTTTGCTTTTATTCCTCTTTAGTTTTTACCTAAGAATCAACTTACGAATTTATTATTGTTTTTCTGTTTGTAATAATTAATTTATCTTTACTAATTTTTCTGTTTTTCTTTTATTATTTATTTTTTAGAGAGAGAGAGTGAGAGAGCATGTGGTGGGAGGGGCAGAGAGAGAGGGAGAGAGAATCCCAAGCAGGCTCCTTACTCAGTGCAGAGCCCAATGCAGGGCTCAATCTCATGACCCTGAGATCATGACCTGAGCTGAAATCAAGAGTCAGACAACTGACTGAGCCACCCAATTTTTCTGTTTTTCTTATATTTACTTTTCCTTATTGTAATTCCTTAGTTTGCTTACTTTGTTATTTCTTTTTAAAATAATGTAAACATTTATGTTAAAACTTATACAGGCATTTTTTCAAATGTATTCTATGGGCTCTGATATATATTTTTTTCTGAATTTTTCTGACTATTCTGCAATTTATTTTAATTTTCTCTTTGACCAAAGTGTTTGTTGAAGCCAGTACATTTTGAAATTTACAAGTGAAAATTTGTTTTTCTATTGCAATTGTTTTTACTCAAGTATTTTGTCCTTTTCCACATTGTGGAATATTTGAAGTTTTATAGGCATTATATGGGCTGATTTTAAGAATGTTCTGTGAGCCTTTAAAAAGGTGGTTTTAAAACTGATTAGCTCTTGGGGCGCCTGGGTGGCTCAGTCATTAAGCGTCTGCCTTCTGCTCAGGTCATGATCCCGGAGTCCTGGGATCGAGCCCCGCATCGGGCTCCCTGCTCCGCGGGAAGCCTGCTTCTCCCTCTCCCACTCCCCCTGCTTGGGTTCCCTCTCTCGCTGTGTCTCTCTCTCTCAAATAAATAAATAAATAAAATATATATATATATTTTTAAAGATTTTATTTTTTTTTTATTTATTTGAGAGAGAGAGAGACAGTGAGAGAGGGAACCCAAGCAGTGGGGAGAGGGAGAAGCAGGCTTCCTGCGGAGCAGGGAGCCCGATGCGGGGCTCGATCCCAGGACCCTGAGATCATTACCCAAGCCGAAGGCAGACGCTTAACGACTGAGCCACCCAGGCGCCCCTAAATAAAAAATCTTTAAAAAAACACAACTGATTAGCTCTGTGTTATAAATTAGTATATGTTTTTATTTAATGTTCCTATTTTTATGGATTTGATGCTTGAGGAAAGGTAGTCTTCTCAGTTACTAATGTGTTTTTGTGTCTTGGATTTCTGTGGTTTATGTATTCATGATTATCTTATCTTTATTCTTTATTTTCAGCATTTCTGATATTGTTTTAGATGTGTATCTTGTATGTATAGAGTTTAGGTGCCTTTGTTATATCAGTTAAACCTTAGCATGTGTCAAAATCATCTGGAGGGCTTTTTTTTTTTTTTTTTAAAGATTTTATTTATTTGACAGAGAGAGACACAGCGAGAGAGGGAACACAAGCAGGGGGAGTGGGAGAGGGAGAAGCAGGCTTCCCGCTGAGCAGGGAGCCCGATGCGGGGCTCCATCCCAGGACCCTGGGATCATGACCTGAGCCGAAGGCAGACGCTTAACGACTGAGCCACCCAGGCGCCCCTGGAGGGCTTTTTAAATACCGATTACTGGGCCTTACTGGCAGATTTTCTGATTCAGGAGTTATGTGTTGGAGCCTGAGAATTTTCTGTATGAGTCTGTTTTAGTCTTTTTCTTTTAATAGTTCTTTTTATTTTAGTTTTATTTATTGAGAGGAACAATATGGTTAGTATTGGTTCTCATATTTAATATTATGCATTGTTTTAAATTTGACCTCATCTTTTTTATCCTTTACTGTAGGATCTTTGATTTCCTTGTCTTGGGTATATATGTCTTTCCTTCTAAAAATTTGGAAAGCTTATTATATTATTTTGTAGTATTCTCTTGGTTGCGTTTATATTCATAACTTTCTTAGTCTTCATCCTTCATTTCTTTAGTCCCCACTAAGTAGTGATGTGTATTTTATACATTAGTATGTTTGCAGTCTCCCTCCTCTCTTTACCACACAGTTGGTGATTGCGATTATTATTCCAGTTTTAAATAGGATTAGCTGCATCCTTCTTACCTCCCCGTTCATATATATGAAATTATTTGTGTCTTTGCCTTTGATTGTGCAGTAATCCATCTATCAAAGTCCATTATTTACCCTTGAGCTTCATTTTTATTAAAATGTATCTTCATTATCACTTTTAGCTCAGTTTCTCTAATCTCTCTATTCCCATACCATATTATGTCTTCCAGAGCAACATGGATCCTAAGTATATACTCTCTTATATTTTTATTTTTCACTTTCATGTTTAAGACCTACATTGGAGCTCATTGAAAGGCCAGTATTTTACCCTTTGGATCTGCAGTCTTGAACACATGCAAAATGATTATTAAATAATTAGTGATTATTATAGAGCTTCAAGTGTGGATTTACATTTTCAGCTTTACTGAGGAATAATTTACAGAAAATAAAGTCACTCCCCCTTTAAGTATATTATTTGATAAATTTGGTAATTGTATATAGGCATAAAAGGAACACCAAAACAAACATACAGAACAGATTCATCAACAGTTCTTTGTGCCCCTTTGCAGTTGACCCATGCCCCTCTCCCATCCCTGGTGATCACTAATTGACTTTATGTACTATAGCTTGCTGTTTCTAGAATTTCATATAAATGTGGTCATGTAGTGCATAATCTTTAGCATTTAATTTCTTTGACTTAGTTTTACATTTTTGAAATTAATTCATGTGTAGATTAATATTTCATTCCTTCTTATTGCTGACTATTATTATAAGTATGGACATAATTTGTCTATTCACCAGTTGATAGACATTTAGATTACTTCCATTTTGGGCCATTGTGAATAATGCTATTATGAACATTCATATACTAAGTCTTTGTGTGAACATACATACTCATTTTTCTTAAATAAATGACTAGGAGTAGGGCTGCTGCATAGAATATTAAGTGTATATTTAACTTTATAAAATACTCTCAGATTGTATTCCAAAGTAGTTGAACCATTTTTATCCCCACCTACTACTCCCATCATTGGGAATTACAGTTGCTTCACATTCTCGCACTTGGATTGGCAGTTGTTTTACCCTTAGCCATTTTAGTGGATGTGTAATCTATCTCACTGGGTGTTTTTTGTTTTTTGTTTTTTAAGATTTTATTTATTTAAGAGAGAGAGAATGAACAGGACGGAGGGTGAGGGAGAAGCAGACTCCCCGCTGAGCAGGGAGCCCAACGTGGGACTTGATCCCAGGACCCTGAGGTCATGACCTGAGCCAAAGGCAGATGCTTAACCAACTGAGCCACCCAGGCGCCCCTCACTGGGATTTTAATATGCATTTCTGATCACTAGTTAAGATGAACGTCTAATGTACTTATTGGCCATTCATATATCTGATTTTGTGAAGTGTCTATTCTAGTCTCTTACCCATTTAAAAAACTAGATTATCTTTTTGAGTTTTAGGAGTTCTATGTATTTTGGATATGAGCCCTTTATTAGTTTCTGCCAGTCTGGCTTTTCTTTTTGTTAAGTGTGTTTTTGAGGGGCATTAGTTTTTAATTTTGATGAAGTCTACCATTTTTTCTTTTTATATTAATAGTTTTTAACACTTATGTTGAGGTCTTTGATTTAGTTTGAGTAAGTTTTTGCATATGGCATACAGTAAAGGTTGAGGGCTTTTGTCTTCTAATTATGTAAATTATAGCACTGATATGAGTGACAGCATATTACTAGAGTCAGTTCTTGCAATGATTTATAAGAAAATCAGGAGGGGCACCTGGCTGGCTCAGTCTTAGAGCATGGGACTTTCATCTCAGGTTTGTAAGTTTGAGCCCCATGTTGGGTGCAGAGATTACTTAAAAATAAGATCTTTAAAAAAGAAAGAAAGAAAATGAGGATAAGATTTTGAGAGAGACACGACAGATCAGGATCAAATTGAAGATTTCCAGTTAGTGGACAGGAAGCAATTATAAAAGAAAGAATTCAGAGGGGGTACAAGAAAAGAGCTCTTCACAAAAGAAGAGCTTTGGTGCCACTTATTTCAGGCATAATGAAAGGAAAACAAATGAAAACTGAAATTGATGGCAATGACAGTTTCTGTATCTAAAAATGATAGTATCAGTAATCAGAACACTGCAGTAAATCAGATTTCAGAGCAAAAATAGCTATTTTCTGGCCTATTTTCCTTTTTTCATTAAATCTGTGTACTTTGCTGTTTAGCCATGTGAAACTCAGTTGCAACCAGATAAAAAGAGCACAGTCTAGTTACTATACAATTATAGATCAGTTCAAGTTGAAAGGCTCAAGTCAAGGACATCTCTGTAGGTATAACAAATAGGGGCTTTTAAAAGTGAAATAGGGGGCGCCTGGCTGGCTCAGTGAGAGGAGTGTGCGACTCTTGATCTCAGGGTTATGAATTCAAGTCCCACATGGGGTGTAGATATTACTTAAAAAAATAAAATACTTAAAAAAAAATGAAATAGGATTATAGTTATGCTTGCTCCATCCTTCCTCACCCACAGTTCCTACTGCACATAGGCAACTACTTTCAACTCATTTAACTGAGTCTACTGATGTTTATTCCCACATTTTATACAGCTATTTTACCTACTTTTGATTTAACCATTTTGAAACAGTATCAGCTTGGGAGCACCTGGCTGGCTTAGTTGGTAGAGCATGCGACTCTTGATCTCAGGGTTGTAAGTTCAAGCCCCACATTGGGTGTAGAGATTACTTAAAAATAAAATCTTTTATGGGCACCTGCATGGTGCAGTTGGTTAAATGTCCAACTCTTGGGTTTCAGCTTAGGTGGGGATCTCAGGGTTCTGAGATCAAGCCCCCTGTAGGGCTCTGCACTCAGCGTAGAGTCTGCTTAAGATTCTCTTCTCCCCCTGCTCTCTCTAAGAAATAAAATCTTTTAAAATACATCATTTATATATGTAGTCTGATTGGTAACATGCAGGGATCCAGAAAATTTCCTGCATTCATTTTGCTTTGTACTTTCTCTGGAACTCCTTTAGGAAATGTTGAACCTCCACTAACCCAGGAATTTTCCAATCATTATTTCTTTCTCCCTTCCTTCTTTCCATTCTTCTTTTTTTTTATTCTGGGAGATTTCCTGGAATTTTCCCCCCCAAACTATTGAATTTTTGAGGTCAACATTATATTGTTTATTTGTAAAAAGCACTTCTTTATAGAACCCTGTTAATATTTCAGTGCTATACAACCTCTTAGCTTTCTGTAATACTAATTATAGTATTGTATATGTGTGTTCTTTTGTTCCTTTCTTTGTTTTTTCCTATTTGTTTTGATCTGTCTTTCACCTCGGGGCTTTCATCAAATTTTTTGATCTTTAGTGTTATATTAATATTTAACATTGAGGTACCTGAATTATTACTATAATCTATGTGCATGGTTGGGGCTTGTAAAATAATGGGCTTCACTGTGCACCATTCAGTCAGATATCTAGATGTTTCTTTTATATGACTTTATATGTTAATATCTATAAACGCTCTCATGGCCTTCTCATTTTTTCAGAAAAGAACCCTTCCATTGTCTGACACCAGCAACCACCAGCATTTCTTCTTTTTTTTTTTTTTTAAAGATTTTATTTATTTATTCATGAGCGACAGAGAGAGAGAGAGGTGGAGGGAGAAGCAGGCTCCCAAGGAGCAGGGAGCCCGATGCGGGACTCGATCCCAGGACGCTGGGATCATGACCTGAGCCGAAGGCAGACGCTTAACCATCTGAGCCACCCAGGCGCCCAACCACCAGCATTTCTAACAAGCAGCAGTAGAAAGGGGTTGGGACCCTAATCTGCATATGAACTTTTACTTACTACCTTCTTTTTAATATGTTACTCTAATCTTCTTTGCCTATCATCACTAAATTTGGAGCCTCCCAGTTATACCATCAGCTGCTGCTTTTATAATCATTTTTATAAATCTCACCTTCCACTCACCCAGTCTCTCCAGTTATAGAGCCTTTGTGTTGACAGCTGTGTCACAAATTACCTTGCTTCTAGGTGGCATCCTCTTCTGCTGGCTTTTTATTTAAGTCATTCGATTCTGCTGTTAATTTATAGTTCTTTATTTGCTTTCCTTTCAGAATTTCCTAAAATTTTTCATCCACTCGGGTCTCCTCAACCTCTTAATGTTTATGAATATATGCCCTTCATCCTCTTACTGTCATTTTAATGGAGTTTCAGAAAGATACAGAATCTTACTTAACCACACATCCTTTTTAATAATTCTTCGGTTCATTTTACTTTTTTTTTTCCCCTTCATCCTAGGCTCTCCCAGTTTTATGTTTTTGTCCTTTCATCCTGTTTGTCACCTGTTCTTTATGTTTTATTTTACTTATTTTTAAAGTGTACAAAGTTACATTTAAAAGCAGTTTAAGGGGCACCTGAGTGCCTCAGTCAGTTAGGTGTCCAACTCTTGATCTCAGCTCAGGTCTTGATCCCAGGGTTGTGAGTTCAAGCCCCACATTGGGCCCCATGCTGTTAAAAAAAATAAATAAAACATAGAAAAAGTAATAATAAAAGCAGTTTAAGCTACATGTACCTGTGAATGTTATTTGTATTTAAGCTTTCTTTTATACTGGTAGACTAGGTTTGAAATAGAGTCTATTTTACAATACCATATTTCTGATATTTTATTAATAATACTGGGAAGGGGCGCCTGGGTGGCTCAGTTGGTTAAGCGACTGCCTTTGGCTCAGGTCATGATCCTGGAGTCCCGGGATCAAGTCCCGCATCGGACTCCCTGCTCAGCGGGGAGCCTGCTTCTCCCTCTGACCCTCCCCCCTCTCATGTGCTCTCTGTCTCTCTCATTCTGTCTCAAATAAATAAATAAAATCTTTAAAAAAAATAATAATACTGGGAAAAATCACAAGTATAGTGATGTTGATGGTGATGACAGCTACTTTATTGGATTTTTACTACATGCCAGGTATGGCATGTTATTAGCTCTTTTCAATGTTCTTTTTTTTTTAATTCTCTTTTAGAAAAGGCCTGGGAAATTTATAAATAGATAAAGACACAACATGGAAGACATGTGAGTTAATAAGTCTCCTTCTCCATGAAAATACAGCTAAGAAAAAACTCAGAAAACCTGGGTAACAGAGAAGTATTTCCTCTGAACACAGACATTGATTAAGACTATATTTCTATGTATGGGACTCAGTTTAAGAGAATTTAGAACATAATTTATACTTAAATATAAGAGAAGCTAAGAAAGAAGCATTAAGAATACAATGATGTCCTATATTTCATCCCAATCTGTAATTGTCTAATCTCAGTATAAGCAATGTAAAGTCTTTCATCATTAATTCAACTTCATTAGATACCTGAGGATTAATATTGAAGAGAAGCCATATGAATTTCATGAATGTGGAAAAGCTTTTATCTATGTCACGTGTCAAGAGATACTGAGGAATTCTTGTTGGAAAAAATATCTGTGCATGGTAAGAATGTTGGAAAGCCTTCAGCCTGAAGCAGATCTCCTTCAGCATGACCAGATTCATAGTAGAGAGAAACCTCATGAATGCAGTGAATGTGGAAAAACCTTTAGCCTGAAGCAAAACCTCATAGAGCATAAGAAAATGCATACTGGAGAAAAATCACATGAATGTACTGAATGTGGTAAAGTATTCTCTCGAGTCTCATCCCTTACTCTACATTTGAGAAGTCATACAGGAAAGAAACCATATAAATGTAATAAATGTGGAAAAGCCTTCAGCCAGAAAAGAAACTTCCTTTCTCATCAGAAACATCATACCGGAGAGAAACTTTATGAATGTGGGAAAGCTTCTATTCAGATGCCAGGCCTCATTAAACACCAGAGAAATAATACTGGAAACAAACCCTATGCATGTAAGGAATGTGGAAAGGCCTTCAATGGCAAATCATATCTCACGGAGCATGAGAAAATTCATACGGGAGAGAAACCATTTGAATGTAATCAATGTGGAAGAGCCTTCAGCCAGAAGCAATACCTCATTAAACATCAGAATATCCACAGTGGAAAGAAACCCTTTAAATGTAATGAATGTGGAAAAGCCTTTAGCCAGAAGGAAAATCTCATTATCCATCAAAGAATACATACTGGAGAGAAACCTTATGAATGCAAAGGATGTGGGAAAGCTTTCATTCAGAAGTCAAGCCTCATTAGACACCAGAGAAGTCATACAGGAGAGAAACCCTATATATGTAAAGAATGTGGGAAAGCCTTCAGTGGCAAATCAAATCTCACTGAGCATGAGAAAATTCATATTGGAGAAAAACCCTATAAATGTAATGAATGTGGAACAATCTTTAGGCAGAAGCAATACCTCATTAAACATCACAATATTCATACAGGAGAGAAACCCTATGAATGTAATAAATGTGGAAAAGCCTTCTCTCGAATCACATCACTCATTGTACATGTGAGAATTCATACGGGTGATAAACCTTATGAATGTAAAATATGTGGGAAGGCCTTCTGTCAAAGCTCATCTCTTACTGTTCATATGAGAAGCCATACAGGTGAGAAGCCCTATGGTTGTAATGAATGTGGGAAAGCCTTCTCTCAGTTCTCAACTCTTGCTCTACACATGAGAATCCATACTGGAGAAAAACCTTATCAGTGTAGTGAATGTGGGAAAGCTTTTAGCCAGAAGTCACATCATATTAGACACCAGAGAATTCATACTCACTAAAGCTCTATGAATGCCTTGAATTTAGGAAAACTTTCATCAGAACTCACACTTTAATGGTATACTGAAAATTCATTTTATAATAGTGACATGAATGTGGAAAATACTTCAACAACTCAAAACTTAAATACTAACAATTTTAATAAGTATCATAGTATCATGAAAACCTATACGCCCAGAACTCCCACAACAAACATTGTTAATGATATACTTTTAGGAGCAATCTCATTGACATAAGGATCCAGTCATGAACATTAATCAGCATGGTTCTGGAAGGCCTACCTGATGCATTAAGAGGTATAAAGATTTGACATTAAGAGACAAAATTGTCATTTAAAAAATGTTTTGCTATACATGTAATCAAAATTATTTGTTCTTGATTCATTTGTAGAAATCAGATTGGGACAGAATATTGTATTCAGAAACATGCATGCCTTTATGGGGAATTGTTAATTGATAGAGGTGGTATCACAGGTTGGTAGAGAAATTAAATCATGGATGATTCAAAAAATGGTCTCAGGGTAACTGACTCTTCATGTGGAAAAATATTAGATCTCTGCTGTAGTAATACATTAAAGTATTTATTATGAAATCCAAAAGTATTGAAGACTAGAATGCAAAAAACAAAATTTAGTAATACAAGAATTTTATAGGAGAGTGTTTTTAAAACCTTGGGGTAGGAGGGAATTTCTAAAATAGATTCCAGGATACTCACTCCTGAGTATACATGCATATCCCCAAGAAACATACATGTACCTAGGGAGTCATGTATCTTTATGTTCATTGAAGCATGAATTACATTAGCAATGGCTGTTGCTTGTGAAATGGATAATAAAATGTGATATAGGCACACAGTAGAATATTCTCTAGTAGTTAAGTATAACAGGTGATATATATATATATATATATATATAAATATATTAACAGAGAAAGACCCAAAAAGTCATGTAGAGTAAAAACAATGAAGGGATAAATATAATCATAACTGTGGATATTAAATCAACACTAACAAACACTAGTATTAAGCATTGATTATGGATAAACATTTTTATGTAAAACTGAAGAATGGATTGGAAAGATACACACTCAATTCCCAAAGGTGGTTGCCTCTAGAAAGAATGGTAGTGGAAAAGAAATGGGACCAAGCATGGTAGTTAAGGATACTTCAGTTTTGTATCTAAACACCTATCATTAAAAAGAAATAAAGATTCCAAGTAAATATAACAAAATGTTAGTTACCTCTGGGTTGTGGTAATATATGTGTTCTATTGTTTGTGCTATTTCTGAAAATAAAAAAAAATAAAGATAGGAGTAGGAAAGCTGTACATGGAGTACAGGTAATAACAGACTCACAATCCCAGATAACTAATATTTTATAGGAAATATTTCTAAAATCTTATCTTTACTATAAGTCATTTTTTAAAATTGGGATGGTAGCGGGGCGCCTGGGTAGCTCAGTTGGTTAAGCGACTGCCTTCGGCTCAGGTCATGATCCCGGAGTCCTGGGATCGAGTCCCGCATTGGGCTCCTGGCTCGGCGGGGAGCCTGCTTCTCCCTCTGACCCTATCCCCTCTCATGCTGTTTCTCGCCCTCTCTCTCAAATAAATAAATAAATAAAATCTTAAAAAAAAATTATAAAAAAAATAAATAAATAAAATAAAATAAAATAAAATTGGGATGGTAGCTTAATTTAAATTTACTCTTGCATGTGACATCACTAATCTGTGTGATCTCTACTTAGAAGTTATAGCATTTGATTGTGCAACAGGTTGGTATTACATACATTTAAGGATCATACCATACCATTTAATAATACATGCACAGACTTGATATTTAGAATTGGTTTTTACCGGAACATTTATCAGAAACTTTAAAAGTCCACATAGGCAGTATTGGCATTAAGGATTTGGTATTTTAAAATGAGGAAACCAAGTTACCCTTAATTTTTAAATATGCCACTGAGTAAAATGTCAACTCTTGCATTTCACCTTCAATTTTAACCTCATTTTTTTCTCTATTCTGCCAGATATACTCAACCAATACCCCCTGTTTGTTTCTTTGGGGAAAATGGTGCTAAAAAGGAGATCTGAGACGTAAACAATATTCTTTTATTTGAAGCAAATCTTTTTGAGGATTTTTGTTTACTCGGTCCCTTTCCACAACAACTTGACATATAAAAAGTTGTTAGTGCTCTTTTTGAATAGTGATAAAAATGGGTATCCAACATTTAAACCTTAGGCATATTTCAAATATATCAATTTCTTGTAAATTCAAAATAATGAAATGCTAATAGAACCATACTACTATACTGCTTGTTAATGGTTTTGAAGGTTAGTCTTGAGATAACATTATAAATGTCAGGGATTGATTTCCTGGGGTAATATACCCAAATAACATGTGTATCTACATGAATCTAAATTATCCTCTATTTTCTTCCATTCCTCATTAAGCATTCCCCTCACATTTCTTAAGTGTTTTGCTTGCCTTTGAGCTTGTGCAGCTTTGAAGTCACCAGAACAACTAAGAACTCTCAATTCAGACCAAACTAGGAGGATTACCTTTTGGTGCCTGTAGTTGGTTAGTGCCAAGGTGCAACAACAATAAATAGGATATCACATAGAGTAAGATGAATAATATCTGAGTACTATCACAGTATTTTGACATTTCACTATAAATAGTGTCAAATTTACTGACATCCCCCTATTGATTCGACTTTTTGCTAGTTATTTGCCACCACAAACAATACTACAGTAAACACTCTTAAAATAAGACCTTAAATTTCAGATGTTTTTATTTCTAGGGGATAGGTTACAGGCAAGAGAGTGTTAGATCAAAGGACGTATGCTATTATTTTATTTTGGAGGTGCTATTAGTCATTTTCAAAAACACAACTTTCCTCTAACCCTGCAACAGATGGTAACGTACTACTCAAATTCATATTTGTCTGATGAGTGTAACCACTTGCTCCTAGCTTCTTTGTAAATTTTCACATTGTTAGCTCATTTTGAAGTCCTCTTTATGTATTAGACATTAGGAATTTGTCTAATTTTTGTCATAAAAATGATTTTTTCCATAAAAATACCCTAAATTTCTGTGTAACTAGATATGTATTAATTTTTTCTAAGCTTATGGATTGATTAAGAAGATACTTTAGATTGTAGATTTCTTAGGTTTTCTTGCAAGTTAATGTTTGCATTTTTCAATATGTAAATATTAGTCCATTTAGAACTTAATTTTTAATGTCATATGAAATGAGGATTCCTTGTTATTTTCTTCCAGATGGGTTTCCAGTTATACAAGCACAATTTGTTAAAATAACCCATCTATTCAGCAGCCAGTCACACAGTTCTGACACCAACTTGTGGTGTCCCCCAGCAGCAATCACAGATTTGAACGAGTAATCAAAAAAAAACAGAACAGGCTTTAACAAAGTTTATTATTAGCCTTCCCTGACACACACACAAAAACCAAACTACAACAAAACAAAACAAACAAACGAAAACAAAATCGCCTTCACAATACTACAACTGCCCAAGCAAGCACGGCTTTCAGGGCCTCTGCCCTGCTCAGGGGAGAGGTCAGAATGGGTGTGGTTCACCTAAGCACTGGGAAACATTAACATTCTCATCCAGGACGTCTTATGATAACCCACTACTGCAACTGCATGGTGTGCCCCCATCCATGCAGCACACCCAGTTGTAACACTGATACCCACTTAAGCACAGGGAAGCTGCTGCCTTGGTTTCCCAAGACTTATGATGCCTTAGTCACATAGGCTATCGATGTCTACATGCCAAGTCACAGTGCCCCCTATCCCCATCCAGGTACAGGATACACATGAAGAATCTACAGTAGTATTTTCATCAAGGAAACTGGCAGAAAATCAAATCTAAGGTCATCTTTCCAGACAAGGGTCAGGGGGAGAGGCCTATTCTTAATTCTTTACCAATACCATCCTTTCCTATTCAACTGAAACTCAGATATGTAATCCTTTAACCACATGATTTTTTCCTCATTCAACTGAAACTGCCTTGTACTTTCATTTATACCAAGACCTATTTTCTGTATTCTCTTGTTTCACTAATCTATTTTTCTACTTCTATACTAATACCATATTAATTGATAAATTGATTTAACATTAGCCGTATTGTATTTTGATACTGCATAATAGACCAGCTCCTCCTTGCTGTTTTTCATAGTTTTATTGGTTATTCTAAGTTAATTTTCTTCCTATATAAATGAAGACTGTGTTCTCAAAATACAAAGACCCTTTGATAGTCTAGTTGGAACTGCATTAAATTTATATATTTATTTTGGGAGAAATGACATTTTTTATTTTAAGTCTTTCTGACCCAAATCATAGTGTGCCTTTGCATTTGTTCAAACTATAATCATGTCTTTCAGCATGAGGGTCCTAAACAAAGTAATTTGAATGCCATCCCTGCTTAATATATATTTTGAAAAGTTTGTTCAGTGAATGAGGAGAATCCCTATTATGAACTAAACGTTTGTAGCCCACTCAGAATTCATACTTTGAAGCCCTGATCCCTAGTGTGATGGTATTTGGAGATGGGGCTATAAGGAAGTAATTAGGTTTAGATTAGGTCATGAGGGTGGGACACTCATGACGGGAACAGTACCCATATATAGAAGTGGAAGAGAGAGACTGTAAGAAGGGATTTCTTTCCATGTGTATACACTGAGGAAAGGTCATGTGAGTATAGCACAGTGAGAAAGCAGTTGTCTACACCAGGAATTGGACCTTCACCAGGATTTGCCAGCACTTTGATGTTGGAATTTCCCAGCCTCTAGAACTGTAAGAAATAAATGTCTGTTATTTAAACCACGCAGTCTGTGGTATTTTGTTATAATGCCTGAGCTAAGACAATTCCTTTTCTGCTTAATTCTCCTGTGCTCCTAATATGTGGTAAGACAAAAGCACTTTTCATTAGGAGAGTAAAATCCCAACTACATTATTAATATGGTCTGTAATTTTTAGCAATTTATAAAACTTCCCCCACCATATTCATTTAAAAATAAAAATTGTTGGAACAGGAAAAGTGAAAAATACAGTTCCTGGGGTGACATCTTGAAAATGTTGAACTAGGAATCCCCAAGCTATCATTTCCCTACAGAAACTGGAAAAAAACCAAAAACTTCCTGAACCAACTTTGTAGTATCTCTGGAAAACAGCTATTTATAGAAACAAGCAAATGCCCAAACAAGTCAAATGCCATCTTCAAATGTTAGTAATCTTTTGTGTCATTTTTATTCTTGCCCCAACTCTCCCAGGTGTGGTATTGATATGGTCTTGAGGAGGTGGCAACCCAGTTTCCCCCCTCAAACTGGAGGAAGCAGAATGGACCATGTTCGCAAATTATTGTATACATCTGTTCTAACCTGTCTTGAGGATACATGAAGAAATGATGCAAGCATCATCTGTTTCACATTACTCAATGCAGGTGGGAAAAGGAGCAGGAACTGCTCATAAAACCTACAAGGTGGGGACGCCTGGGTGGCTCAGTCAGTTAAGTGTCTGCCTTTGGCTCAGGTCGTGATCCTAGGGTCCTGAGATCGAGTCCCACATCGGGCTCTCTGCTCCGTGGGGAGCCTGCTTCTCCCTCTGCTTCTGTCAGATCTCATGAATGAATAAATAAAATCTTAAAAAAAAACAAAAACAAAAAAAACCTACAAGGTGGACTACAAATCCAAAGTCTGATTGTTAAGATTAGGGAAGTGGAAATGTATAGTCAGGGAGCAGGGTGAGGGTCAGTGGATGGAAAAATTCTAAGAGGAAACACCAGGGGTAAGGGTGTTCTGGCTAAACCAACCAAAGAGGATTCCTGCTGAAGGCAGGCCAGCATGATCACACAGCACCTGGGAGAAGGTGGAGGATGAGCAACTTGATCAGATATCAAGGGTGATCATGTATTAAGGGTAGAGGGTTCTAGTTTGACTGAGGATTCTTACTAAATCTTGATTTTATAAATAAGTGCACAGATAGATCTAGAAGGTTCAGGAGTCTAAAGTTTGGTCAAAGAATCTTTGTCACTGAATTGGCACTTGGGTAAAACAAGACCTTGGGGTTAATTTTACTAATGTGCTATTAATGACCCATTTCAGAGACTTCTGGAGACAAACTATGCATGCCCATTAGCAGTTCAAAAGTATGTCCTGGGGGTACCTGGGTGGCTCAGTCGGTTAAGTGTCTGCCTTTAGCTCAGGTCATGATCCTGGGGAGTCTACTTCTCCCTCTCCCCACCCCCCACTCGTGCTCTATCTCCCTCTCTCTCTCTCAAATAATCTTTAAAAACAAGACAAAACCAAAAAAAAGGATGTCCTAGGTAGCAAGAGTTAGTATGGATGCACTGATCTCAAGAAGATACAGGCAAGACTATACTAATAAACTATTAAACTATTGATTTCAGAGGGTTATAACCAGCCAGATCCACTGAATTAACAGAAGAAAAAGCTTGGGAATGTTAGTGGAGAATGCATCTTCCCCACTCATCTATTCTTCAAGAGGAGAGATTTTTTTCCCTAAATACTCCTGGCTTCTTGTCCTACTTTTTATTTCTCTTCTGGAGAGGTAAAGCAAAATAATTGATTAGAGAATTTGTTGCCTCTCTGGTCCAAATTAACCTTTTGTTGCCTGATGGGTGAAAACAGATCTTTACTTTTTAAATTTTTTTTTTTTTTTTTTTTTTTTTACCAGCTGGCATAATGGTAAGCTTTGTCATTAGAGGGTACTGGAGAGACATTGCAGAGGGAGGGAGTTCTCCTTAGTTCTGGTGTGGCTTCCTCTCCAGGTTTCTGAAAGTAGGCTCTCTTCTCTAAAGCTTTGCCCCACAGTTTACTCCATTACAAAATGCCTCTGAAGCACAGCTTTCTCTAGCATTTGGCCACCATGTTTTCTCCATTCTTGACCAAGTGAGAGGCATCACAGGAGATTTTCAAACATGTGTCTATACCCCAGCTAGGTCTATACTCCCTATACCCTCTTCATAGGCCTACACATGCACACTGGGGACCTCATGCAAGCCAGTACCCGACCTCTTCCACATAGCTAACCTGGAGCTGTTCTGGCCCAAGCCCTTCATGGATGTGTGCTAGGTTCCTGCAGAGAAAGGTCTCTACAGCTCCAGGTTCCAGTAGTGTCCACAGTGGTGCCCCAAACTCCCTCTATATGCCTATCTCTAGGCTCTGCTCACCAAACTGCCTAATGAATATGAATCATATCTGGCCTGAGCAAACAAGCAAACTTCTCTACCAGCTAGTAGTCTTTGATGAAATGTGAACCCTTTCCCTTCCAAGATTGTCCTTCCTTGGGTACTCTGCCTCAGCCCTGGAGTCCCTTTAGAGTCCCTTTCCATCTTAATAGTTACATTATTATTGCCACTTACTAATTCTTTATATTAAACTTCCCCTGTTTTAATTAACGTGTGGTTTCCTGTCTTCACACTGGATCCAGATTAATACAGAGTTTGGAAGAAGACCCAGGCATGAGGTGTCCTGGCCCTTCTTTCCTCTTCACTTTGGAATCTGCCTATCTGCATAAAGCATGCATTCCCCGATGCTCTAGGTCAAGATGTGAACTTGGAGATTGAGAGCCTATTCTTGCCACTGTCATGATTCACTGGGTCAGGCTGTATTTCTGGAGTCCAAACAGAAAGCTCATTGGACTTCTACAGTGACCATACTCCAATTTGCCTTTATCTATAATAAAAGTAATATCTGGCCTCCCTACATCTTAACTATTTGTCCTAAAACTCAGTTAGATAACAACTGATGGGTAAAGGGTGGGGTGATGCACATCTGGTCTCTCCAGAAACCCTAGCACATAATGGCTGCATGGCACACAACACGATATATAAATATTTCAGACTACCCTATACTTTTATGCTCTTAACTTTTAGTAATTTCCATAAATAACTTTTGAGAGGAGAAAAATCCAGACTTGCTAACATGATCTATGAGAATCACTTTCCAGGGGCACCTTGATGGCTCAGTCGGTTAAGTGTCCAGCTCTTGTTTCAGCTTGGGTCATGATCTCAGAGGTTGTGTGCTTAGCAGGGAGTCTGCTTAAAGATTCTCTCCATCTGCCCGTCTCCCCACTTGTGTGCACACACACGCATGCTCTCTCTAATACATAAATCTTAAAAAAAAAAAAAAATGAATCACTTTCCAGACCAGGGGCAATGACTAATTGGACCCAAGATGTTTCAAACCATGGGGGAGTGGTTTTTATTGGGTATCAGTAGTATGGGAAGAGTTGGAATTGTTATGAGAGAAGACTGAGACTGATATGAACACTTCCTGTTATACTCAAACCACCATTCCAGTTGTCACATTCTGCTCATTCACTCAGCTCCCTTGGAAGGTGGATTCAGATTCTCTACTCCTAGGGTGGGAGTGTGTGACATACAATCTTCACAAATACCCCACCCCAGCACAGTGGCAAACCATCAGGAGAGAACTCAAATCCTAGCTTCTCCCTAATGAGTGGAGGGTTTGAACCACATGTATGGAACACCACTATTATGACTTATACATGGGGTGCCTGGGTGGCTCAGTCGTTAAGTGTCTGCCATCGGCTCAGGTCATGATCCCGGGGTCCTGGGATCAAGCCCCACATTGGGCTCCCTGCTCCGCGGGAGGCCTGCTTCTCCCTCTCCCACTCCCCCTGCTTGTGTTCCCTCTCTCGCTGTGTCTCTCTCTGTCAAATAAATAAATAAAATCCTAAAAAAAAAAGACTTATACCTGAGGGTCACCTGGGTGGCTCAGTCAGTTAAGTGGTTGGTTCTTGATTTAGGCTCAAGGCATGGTCTCAGGGTCCTGGGATCGAGTCCCAAGTTGGGCTCTGCGCTCAGCAGGGAGTCTGCTTGAGGAATCTCTCTCCCTCTTCCTCTGCCCCTCCCCCTGCTCACTCTCTGGCTCCCAAATAAATAAATAAATAAATAAATCTTTTTAAAGAAAAGACTTATACCTGAGAGATAGTCCCTCAAAATATCCAGCTCTGAAAGCAAATGGGGATTGTATCCATGAGACCCAAAGACTATAGCAAACTAAGAAACTGTACCTAACAGGCTTGGCCATCCATCCCCAAAAGGCTCAGCACACTATGGAAAAAGCCTAAGAGCTGTGAGCTGAGGGGCAGTCTTCTAATTTAACAAACATCTAGAGGCCAAATATAATTCTCTGCAGAGACTGAGGATACCAGCAGACACAACCTTCATGCTGTTCCTCTGCCCTAACACAGGTTAATGGGGACTCCAGGAAAGGAACTTGTGCATACATCTGGCACCCTAACTATGGTGGATGCTGTCCAGAGGACACAACCCTTGATATTCTGCTTCTGGTGGCCAGTGGGGCTGTGTTCATTGGTTCAACAAGACAGTAGCAAATTAAGGAACTTAACTGGCTATCCTGCCAGGGCTCAGTGCAGAGGAAGGACAGAAACACTCATCTCCCAGTCTTCCCCTGAAAGAGGTATATCTGTATACTTTAAAAGCTGCTGCTGAGGGTGTGGTTCCAATGAGCCTGTATCTAGGTGCTGACTGAGATTCTTCCCTTTGGGACACTGATAGGTCTTGGCACACTCTCGACAACTGGGAGTCATTAAGAACAAGCCTAGACAAGCACAAAGGTTTAAGAAACAACCAAGAGCTAAGACATGGCTCATCTCCTAAACAAAGCCACTCCTCAAGACTGAGGAAGGTAGCTGTTTTATCAAATGCACAGAAACCAATACAGAGTGAAGGAAAATGAAGAAACAGAAAAATATGCTCCAAACAAAAGAGCAAGATAAAAATCCTAGAAATAGACCTTAATGAAAAAGACGTA